AAATATTTTTTAAAAAGAACTTTTGTTATTTAATGTCATACTATATAGTCTTGATAAAGAAGTTAAAAAAATTATGGCTCTATGGGCTATGGCTAGCTTATTCTATAAGGGAACAGGAATGAGACACCTACTATATTTAAGTTTTCCCCATGACATTATTTTAATTAACAAATCAATGTTAACATTATATTTTGCCTGCATTATCTCACACTTGGTTTTCATGTTGAGATTACGCTCAATAATTTATTATAACAATAATTTCTATCTCAGCCAAATATTTACTATTTACGTTTTTTAGTAGACAAACATTTTTTAAAGAGTTCTTTTTTTCCGAATATAGACGGGGTTGGATACGAGATTTCCTCAAGGAGGGAATGGTACAAATATAAAGAGGATTATCGTCACACCAACTGTCACATTAATTTTTTTAGTGAAAATTCTGACCGTTTTGCCTAAATTAAACTAATTAGAGCAACTTTCACATATAGCAAATACAAAATTCATATTTGTATGCTATAGCAAAGTTTGCATAATTGCGCTCCATAGCAAACATGCTATGACTAGGCTATTTCGCTATACATATATACAAAAGAAGTAATTGTATAATTCGGTCGCTCCTCTTCAGATTTGTATAATTTCGCTGGTAGGTCATTTGTATAAATTGTTGCCGGCCTCTCGTTTGTATAAATCGTTGAGAGTCTCTCAATTTAATTTTATGTGTTTGTATATCTATATAAAATTTGAATTTGTATACAATTGAGTCAAAATAAAACGTTTGTATATCAAATATCGTTCTCTCTATCGCTTTATACAAACATAAATTATACATTGTATTTTGTATAATCTGTGTTTGTATAAAGCGAGAAAGAGAGAAAGGCAAAAGAGAATTGGACAAGAGAATATTTGTATTGTATAATTATAAGTGTATAGGACGAAGATATATGTATTTGCATGTGTATATACAATTTTCTCTCGCTTTATACAAACAGAAACACAATCTATACATTTCTGTTTGTATAAAGCGAGAGAGGCGAGCGACAGAGAGAGTGAGCGAGAGAGGGAGAGTGGCGAGCGAGAGTTTGAGGGAGAGAGGTGACTAACAAACAGTTTGCTACAGGGCACAATTAAATCAAAGTGTGATTATACCATTTAATTTGAATTAATAATTTGCCATTATGTACAATTTTCCCAACTAATTAATTGGCTACAAAAGTAAGCTTCCATAGCCCAATATACATCTCTGTGAGTTTGTTACTTGAGATTTTATAACGCAGTCTAATCGAAATCGGACAAGTTGTCAAGTTTTCTGCTGGTAGTAAATCTTATGCAAATTTACAAAGAAATTAACTGAGTAAATAATACTCCCTCTGTCCCTAATTACTTGTCCACTTTTTCTTTTATAGTTGTCCCTAATCACTTGTCAATTTTGATAAATCAAGAAAAGACAATTTTTTTTACCTATTATACCCTCAATTAAATGATTAATTATTTTTAAAAAGTAGAATTTTTCATCCACTTCATAATTAATAGGGATAAAATGGTAAACTCATTATGCCATTAATTGTTTTCTTAATAGGTGTGTCAATTCAAAAGTGGACAAATAATTAGGGACAGAGGGAGTAGAAATGTACCCAGAGTTTAACGAATGAAGCACATTCTACTAAACAATCATTATTATTTTTTTATTGAAATATTCTACTAAAAATATTTAATGGCTATTACAAATATTTTGATAGAGTCACTAAGAAAAAAAACAGTAGGAAACTTTTCAGTATTCAACGAAAATCTATTTTCTACCATGTGTTGTAGCTAGTTCGATGGAATATGGTGGGAATTAAAAACCCTTGTTTCTAGCCAGGAGAGCATTACTTCCTTTTTGTTTTCTACTTACATGTTTATAATTAGGGATTATGAATTAATTGTTGTACTTGTTGAAGTAGCTAGAAAACAATAGAAAGATGATTCATAGGGTACAAGAAAATCGATTTGTGTAAAGTAGTAGGTCACACGTGTTCACCATTTCTGGTAATAAAAACATAATACCATCATTTTACGGACAAAAAACAAGTGGTGAACAAGCTTTAAGAAACTTGGACTATTGTTGTTTCTACACAAAAAAAAAAATAACATTGCACACAAAGTGATCATAATTCTGCCAAGATGTTTACACAGTACACATATATGGCCTAGCTAGACGTAACTTCTAGCTAGTTAACGAATATCATTGTACACCCCCGTGAAAAACTTTTGTAAGCCAAATCAATATGTGGCCCATATCATCATTTGTAACAAAATTGTGGCGACATGATTTGAAATTTTTTGATACAAGGTTCTAGTCATTTCAAGTTATCGACTTGTATAAATTATATATTTTATGAATATTGAATGATGTTCTTAAAGTAAATATAAAAGTTAGTGAGTTTGAACAAACTTTTATTTCAAAAAAACTAAGTGCGGCAAAATAACATACATAATTTAAAAGTTTGATCAACCGTGCATTAAGGCTTGTAATCTTATATATGTCATGACATTTCTATGATAAAAGAGGAAGGGTTTGCAATTTGCAAATTTAGTAAAGTATATTTTTCTATAAGCTAAACTGACATGCGTATTGTATGTGGTTGATTTACTTACTATTACTACTATAATAATAATATAAAATGTTTAGGCAACCCCAATATACTGTGGTTTAATTTAGTCATATGCTATAGGTGGAAGAAATTTGTTATAGGTGGAAGAAATTTGTTAGGAAAAGTACATAAAAACCCCTTTGAACTTGACACGAAAACTTACTTTAGTACTTAAATTACACAGGTGTTTATATACCCCCTTAACATATTTGATGTGAATTATTTTCAACCCTCCGAACACCAGCCCAGTTGAAGGCTTGGCATTGTTACACACGTTTTCATTGATCGACGTCAATAAGGGTTTAAATAGCTTACCCGTTTTATATAACCCATCCGTTCCCAAAATACAACTCGACCCATTTCTAAACAAATATCCCTAAATCTCTACTCCTGATTCTCATTCTCTCAAATATACAAGACCTAATCTGAAGATTTTTCTTTCATTAGCGTGAAGGATTTGCTGAGTTTAGGATTTTCGTGAAGAAACAAAGGATTTGCGTGAAGAAACAAAGTTACCAAATAATAAGAAAAAGGGAGGAAAGAAAAATCAAAATAATAGAGGAAGAAGAATAGGTTTGAATCTTACATTTTGAAGAACAACTTTTAGGTTTGAAGAGCTAAGATTTGAGAAAAATCAAGAAAAAAACAATGAATTAGGTCACCATTTTTGGATGATTGGGTTGGTGAGGGAGAAGAGGAAATTAGGGTTCTTTAAAAGTGAAGATGGATCTTCAAATACGTAATGCGTCGGATATTACCGTTGGAGGGTCAAATTTTATTTTTAAAAAATGTTAAAAGATGAATTACGCGCCGTTCCAAGTTGTATCAACACGCGCACGAGGCTGGTGTTCGGAGGGTTGAAAATAGTTCACATCAAATATGTTAAGGGGGTATATAAACACCCGTGTAGTTTAAGTACTAAAGTAAATTTTCGTGCCTCAACACGCGCACGAGGCTGGTGTTCGGAGGGTTGAAAATAGTTCACATCAAATATGTTAAGGGGGTATATAAACACCCGTGTAGTTTAAGTACTAAAGTAAGTTTTTGTGCCAAGTTCAGGATTTTTTTTAGTGTATATGATTCAAATTATTTGGATAAGTTTACTACCCCTTTTGTATTATAATTAATAATCTAATTCGTCCGTTTCATATAATTGCATATCATGTTTTTACCAAGATAAGAAGTTTTAGAAAGAAAAAAAAAAGGGTATGTGTCGTAAATATAATTAAAATTTTATCGTCTCAATTATGTCAAGTCATTTTTTTTTTATATATATAGCCATAAAAGCATGTAATTAAAATAAAATAATTAATTTAAAAGTTAATTTTTAGTCGAAATGCATTAATCAGCTTCAACAAAATATCTTTTGCTCTATGAGAGTACTATTGGAGAAGTACTGTCATGTAACCTGTAGCGGATGGAGCATGTAACTAACATGTTCAAACGAACAAACTTTTTTATATGAATATATGTTAAAAAAAACGTAGAATAAATATGTCTATTTGTTATGTTTTTTATAAGTTTAAGTGTTTATTTGTGTACATATAATGTTATATTGTATAAATATCATACGAGACCAAGTTAAATAACATATTTATATATTTGTAAAGTGTCAAAAAGAAAAATATATATTATATCTTTGTTTACTTAATTATATTCTCAAGACGCTTATCGCATGACCTTTACTTGCTCTGATACCTTATTGAAATGTGAGACTATTTCATCAAAAAATTTAAGCTATTAATAAAAACACACTTTTATTTTCTTAATTATATTCTCAACAATAATTTCAAAAGTACTTCCTACCACTCATTTCATGTGAAGATGTAGAAGTTGTTCAAATATGTAAAATTTTATTTTGAAAATATTTAAAGAAACTATATATGAGTTCTGTATTTTGACCATCCTTAAAAGGACGTATTTTGGGTCAATCAATAGTAAGAATTAAGAATTTAAATGCTAAGTGTGTCAAATTAAAATTCTGATTAGTCAGTCATGATAAGTACGAATTTGATCGAACCCATCAATTTTTATTTAAATAATATATTTGTATCAAAAAGTTTATTATATATGTACAAATATTAAGTTTTGAACCCAAAAATATCAATACTTATTCAAAATAATTGTTATAAAATTCATAACCCATAAAATTAAAATTCTAACTTTACCTTTTTTTAAACTTTTATCAAATACTCATTAACTTCATTAACTTATATATATTGGTTGATCGAGCATTGTTAGTCTTTGTGGTTGCTAGGAAGACAAATCATAAAATTCTTGAAATATTATTTTGGACCCCACACCCCTCTCATTTTGTATCCTATATAAGTAGCACCCCTTCGATACAAATAATGTACTCAATCATCAACTCCATCGATAATATTCACTACTAAAGAGTTCATCAAAAATAATACTACTATAATGTCTTCTTCTCAAGTTGGACAAGGATCATCAGTTACATGGACTTTACAACAAAACAAGGCATTTGAGAGGGCATTAGCAGTGTATGACAAAGACGCCCCTGACCGTTGGTCTAACGTTGCTAGAGCTATTGGAGGCAATAAAACTGCAGAAGATGTGAAGCAACATTATGAAGTACTTCTTCATGATATCAAGTTTATTGAGAGTGGTGGTGTGCCTTTCCCCAACTACACCACTCGTAATGGAGGCCGAGGCCGCACTAATAACAAATAATTCGCAGGTATGATTTATTGTCTTGTTCTAACATGATATCAGAATACACAAATTTTGATCCAAATGTCTCCATTATATTAATTACGTGTTTGGTTTATAAAAATGAATTATCCTTACATGTTCAGGATATACTTAACTAAATAAAAATGTCTAAGTAAGATGTTGAAGCTTTTGTTTTCATCTTGTTCTTACTCTTTCTCAATTTTCCCATTGCCCGTCCACTCAATTCAGGTACTTAAATCTCATTATTTTAAAAGATTTAAATCAATCATGTTTTTAAGATGGGATGGTCACATATATTAAAAGTCTCAAATTCCAAAACTAATGTGTTAAAAAATAGTATTAAGAGATTAATTCTATAATTTGATTTTTCTTTTATGTTGCTCCACATCTTATCGCAACTTTTTTTTTCCACAACTTAGAGCTTATTTTAGTCTTGTTTAAAGCAAGTATCCAAGGTAAGTATCATCCAAAATAAAATACTAATGCCTATTTTCTTCCTAGTACTATTTGTGTTTCTCATTGAATATGCAAATCATCTCCATATAATAGTATCTTTTTGAAATGGCAATTCTTAATGTTTCTCATTGAATACATATTTGATGCAGGATGCAAATCTTTGGTTCCAACAAAGCAATGAGGGAAAGAAAACTGCAACCTTAATTAATTATATATGACACAACATTTTTACTCCAAGAAATTAGTAACCCTACTACTAGCTATTAAAATAATAATAATAATAACCAGATTATCACATTTTCTTCTTGACAATTCAAGTGAAGTGTATATCAATTTCTTTGTACGTCCAAGTTAATTGTATTAATGCTATCAATTTCATGGATGTACTATATGAAGGAAGCATTTGAATTCCTTCTACTTTGTAATAGCATTCATGTTTGATCTCTTTCTATAAAACACGTTTTTATTTTTATTTTGCGTACGTGCACTTTAATAGACACACATGTCTTACATGGCATCCTACATGACATTTTTTGTCCTACGTGTATTGTGCCACGTAGGACTCATGTATCTACTTGTTCAACTTTATATAAGTTTAAGTGTCTATTTGTGCACACCCAAAGTTGAAAGGGATAAATGTGAAATTAAGCCAAGTTAAAAGACACAGTTATGTATTATGCCAAAAAAAATTGACGTTCATTATTCATAGGGTTTTAAGAATGGACCCCAAATTAATTCTTAGCTTATTTGAATGCTCTTAAATACACGATGTGTGGAACATTTACACCTTACCATATTGTAATAATCACATTGCAATATAAGTTTTATCCACTGACAACATAAAATATTTTACGAACTGAGTGTAACTTTGAATGGCTCTGATAAATTACTACCTATATTTTTAATTTTCAGAATTATCAACTTATTCAAAATGTATAAAATTTACTTTGAGTTGGCTTTTAGGAAACTTAATCAGTAAATAAATTTATCTGACCATTGTAGCTGAAACACGATTTGAAATGGACTAGAAAGCGCAGTACAAGAGAACAATAATTTCAGCACACAAAAATAATGGAGTAGTTATTTCTTAAAAATAAATAAAAAATAACAGACAATATTATATCACGATGACAATAATACCCTTTGAGACCATCAGTCAGGACTCAGGAGACTCGTTTCAGGACGCACGTTGTAAAATTAGGAAATATCTAATTTCTTTTAATGACTTCGGTGTGCATAGGATAAAGGGAAACCCGCATCTGTTATCTTTGGGTGTGCAAGAAAAATAAATCTGCAGTTTTTACCCTTTGAGTGTGCACAAAACAAAACCTCTGCTCCTATGCAATAGCTCACAAACCACATAGGAGAGGTAACTTGCACTAGACAAGCCCGGTGCGACGAGGCCAACCCAAAAAGTGAACTCCTTGCTTTCGTTGGCAGGAATTTCGAACTTGAGACCTTCAATATGGAAGTTCCCAAGCCCAAACCACTGGACTACCTCAAAGGGTAAAAATGGGGATAATTGCCTTTCCTTTTAATGTTTTTGCTAAGTTAAAAAGGAGGATAAATCGTAATGTGTTCACAATTATAGGTTGAATAAATTAGAAGTTCCAGCAAACTAAAATTGAAGCGTAATGTTTACATATATACAACAATCATCAATGGAGTGTGTGTATATTTCTTTAAGGGTGTAGCAGAAACATAGCTATTCAAACTTAGTTACATGAGATTCATTAAACAACTTAATGCAGCAGAAACCTAGTTTAAGCACTTTCGTCATTTTTTCATAATCCTGATCCCACAAACAATTCACTGGTGTAAAGTAACACCAGCGAATCTATCCACTTTATGCAGCAGAAACACAGATTATGAAACTTGGTCGATCTTTCATAGTCCTGATACCACCAACAAGTTGAGTGGTGCAAAGAGCAGAAGAAACCAGTGAATCTATTCACTTCAATGAAATCAACGAATCCAAGTTCTACACAACAATTGAGATACTAATACAGACAGTGGAAATAAGAGAGTGGAAGCTACAAATCAAGAGCATTCCATAGATCAATAGAACATAGACAGCATAGTGAAAAGTCAGATGTCATTCTTTTCTACTCTATTGATACTAGCCATCAAATCAAGATGTGCCAAAAATCCTACTTAGCCAATGTTGTTTGCAGGGGAAGAGAACTTTCAACCTCTTTAGCCTCAGCATTCCTTTCCGCAACAATTTTTGACATGCCAAACATCTGATATGTGCATTGGATAAGATTAACAGTCGGTTAAATTTAAGGTAATAAATGCAATGCCTTTTAGGTTCAGTGTAAGCAGATTATTTATGGTGAAAGTGTTGACAAATACCTTTTGAATGGTCTTCTTGAAGCAAGTTTTGTGTTCATCCATGGAAGCATGAATGAATTCATCCATGTGATCCTTGATATCTTCTAGAAAATTTGCTTGTTCGCTCTTCTTCTTCCGACATGAAGTCATAGCTGGATTTGGAGTAACAGGGGATGGTGCCTTCTCATTTTGGACATTTTCTGCTGCCATGTTATCCTTGATGCGAGGCTCTTATCTAGGCTGTAAGGTTATCAACATCACATATAACTATTTTATTTCTTCGACAACCATACACCAAGAAGAAAAATCAAGTCAACAAATATAACAACAACAATTATGTCTTAATCCCTACTTGGGTTTTAGCCACATTAATCCTCATGTACATTTTGATCCATTTGGATTCCCTCTTCAGTTATCTTCAATAACAACAGCTTGCATTTAACTCTGTATTAATAGCAAACCACCTCAGAACTTAGACTCCTTTATTATGATTTTCATTCCAATGACTTAGGCACGATTCACACAAATAACGTACATAGTAATCAAAAGGAATAATTACCATGAAGAGATACCCAGATTTTCAGGTATAGAAACAGGATAGATATCTACGAAAGTAAGACAAAATATTTGTAATCCATCAATCATACAATGCCACTAAAGCTAAATATAGTCTTTACAAAGCAAAAGAATTAGATCTGCTCAAAGCAAGAACCCGGAACACCTCAAATTAAACTGGAAAGAAAGAGTTAAAGTATAATTTTCACGACTGTCAAATTGGCCAAATAATCAATCAAAAGCATCCCTTGGGACTAAAGGAAGGGTACATGAAGCATAACCCTTACAACATATAAGTACTACTCCCTCTTTCCCAGCAGTTTATGTGACACAATTCAGATTTCGAGAGTCAAAACGGTTTAAGTTTGGCAATGAATTTGGACATGGAATTTGTTTAAATATTCAAAAACTAGGTAAGAAATATTACAAGTGTATCAAGCAACTAAATTAGTGTGGTAATTACTCCATGTACAGGTAAAAGCACAAGTGTGTGTTATCACATCCCATTGGAGAAGCAAATTTCACAGTAAAAGGCAGAGCTAAGGAAACAAAATTGCAGATAAACTGTTTGATTTAATGCTGCTAAGAAATTACTACTAAATAAGTAAACCGATTTATGGGAGATAAATTTCAAGGAATTGACATCTCAAATAAGAAAAGAAGAAAAATTGAAATCGATGGAGATGAGTTTTGCTGCTTACCTTCCGAAATAGATCGTTTTCCAAGCACACGGTTTGAGAATGAGCAGGGACCTCCTTCTATCGAGAAGGGACTATAAAATGTAATAACTTGAGCAACAAGATTTTGTTTCTATTGTTTGGGCTAAAAGCGGGCGCCACCATGGGCCGGGTCATAACGTAGCCCGGCCCATTTATCATAAAACATGCTGAAGGATTCTGTTGATCATAAAATTCATCAACTTGTCTTGTCATAATTTTCAATAATACACTAGAAAGTAATCTCAAATTTTGATAATTTTAGAGTATCGTCATAAGGAATTCTTAATAGTTCTATTGGTTAGCTACCTGAATTTTCACTTTGTTGTTGGTGCGGATTCGATTCCCACATTACGATCACCATAAAATTCATTAGAAATTAATCTCCAAATCCTAATAATTATGGTAGGTCATAATTAATTTGTTGTGTACAAGTTTCTATAATATGTTTTTGTTTCAAAATTAATCCAAATTGTACTAAATCAAATTGTAAATGACTGATATTTTCTAATACTAAATCAGTATAATCACTTTATCTTCCTCAAGTAGAAGTATTAGTGCTTTACTTTCTTAAGTGAGTTTAGCTACGTTGTTCAAAGGGGATTTTTTTTTTCATTAATAGTCCACATTTAATTTCTTATCCATATAATATAACCCTGGAAATGTATTGAGATCCAAGGAAAAAGAATCTTCGAGCTAGACCGAGTTACATACAATTTAAATTTTAAATTTTAGAAAAGTTGGACAGAACTAATTTATACTATTGTACACAGGGGCGGACCCACGTGGTCTTCAGGGGGTTCACCCGAACCCCCTCGGCAAAAAATTACACGTAAATTTTTTATATTTCTGTAAATATATATATTTTGAACCTCCTCAATAACAAAGAGAAGCTGATGGTGCAGTGGTAAGTCCCCCTAAAATTAAGTTTTGATGGTGCAGTGGTAAGTCCCCCTAAAATTAAGTTGTGCGTCCGTGGTTCAAACCCCAGTGAAAGTGTTTTATTTATTTTTTTTAATTTTCAGTTCTGTTTTTCATTTTGTTTTAGTGTTTTTTTTACTTTAAAAAACGTGCTAAAAGTGGGGTTTTAAACCCAAAAAATATAAAGGTTTTCATTTCTAAAGGCTTATTTATACGTTTATACTTTTATTTTTCGAACCCCCTGAACGAAAATCCTGGATCCGCCACTTATTGTACAACAATAAAATCTTAAACGAATCTACATCAAATTGGAAAAATTGCAGTATGCAATGTAACCACTGTGTAATAGTCAGTCCCATGGCCCAATATACGTATGTGATTGTGACCCAACACTTCAACAGTCATAATAATTGAGATTATTGGATGAAGTGCCATGTTGAAGAAGTTGAGGTTAAAAATCATATCGTTCTGTTCGTCTCAAATTATCTGTCATATTTTTTTCTTACATGTCCCCGTAACAAAATACTAATTAAAAGAAGTTTCATTCTTTCGTGAAGAAGAAGAGTAAGAAAAAGAATAAATATTTGATGATGAGGTGGCCTGTTACGTGACGTCCAACTTACCCAAATGTCTTGCCAATATGGACAATCGTTAAAAAGAGCTATATTTTTGCATATTTTTACTAATTTGACCATATATTATAACTAGAGACGAACTCATAATAAATAGTATAGACGAAAGTTGAGAGACATTTTTATCCTTTTCACTTTAAAAAGGACAAGGGTATGGGCCAAAAGATTAAAGTTGGCCATCTCTAATGTATCATCTTCTTCTAGTGTAGTGTAGCTTAGAGAAAGGGAGAAAAGTGTTAGGTTTGTGAAAAATGGGAAATGTATTTGCAGTAATAAAGCCAATATTGCAGTGTCTAATGAAAGTTATTGGAATGAGATCCAAGTTAGTGGAAATAGAAGCTGGAACTACCTTACATTTTTGGGTTCCAACCATCAATTCAACTAAGCCTTCAGTTGTATTTCTCCATGGATTTGTTGCTAATGGAATTATGACATGGCTTTTTCAAATACTCTCCTTAAGTTCAGATTTCGCTATCTACGTCCCTGATTTACTTTTCTTCGGAGATTCCTTCACCCATTCTCCCCAACGGTCAACAAGTTTTCACGCACATTGTTTAGCAAAAGGTATTGCTCAACTCATATCTCATCTGATACCACATGTTGAAGTGTGTAACCATCTTATCTAAAAATTTAAGCGGTTAGAGTGAGCACATATTTATTATTTAATTATAATATCTCACAGTGCGGATCTGATTCTTTTTCTTTTTAGGTATGATGAAGTTGGGAGTTGAAAAGTTTTCTCTAGTGGGGTTCAGTTATGGAGGAATGGTTGGGTTCAAGTTGGCCCAATTGTATCCTCATATGGTTGAATCTATGGTTATGTCAAGCACGGTTATAGAGATGACTGAATCCATTAGCAATGCTTCTTTGAACAATATTGGGTTCACTAACTGGCCTGATTTTCTTTTGCCCAAAACCATAGCTGATCTCAAAGTGCTTTTATCTATTGGAAGCCATAAGTTTCCTTGGTTCCCTCAATTTTTGTTCAGGGATTTTCTTGAGGTACGTGTGTCTTTAACTACCCCTCAATCTACTTTTACTCCTTAACTATACTAAAAATAGTTATATAATAATATTTGTCTTAATTTAAAAAATCAAGAGATAATTTATTTTATTTTTGCTATTCAATATATATATATTTCCTAAAACATTAAATTTGATGTATATTCAAAGGGTAATGTAGTAATATTATTTCTTTTCTTTATTATTTTTTTGGATAGAAAGAGTAATACTCCATTTCACATTCTATCTTCTTCCATCAACACTTTTACTTGTTCACTCTTTGAAAAAATAAATCTTTATTTTTTTATTTTATTTTTTAAATTATATTTTATTCTTAACATTAATTAATTAATTTTCAATACTTAATACTAAACATAATTATTGTTTCTTATAAAGAAGGTGCAAAGTCCAATGTCGACAAATAAAAGTAAAAGAAAAAAAGTATGTTTCTTCTTCATGTTTTATTCTTTAACATTAATTATGAATTCCCAAATTATTTCTCATGACATAAAACAACAATTACTAATATATACTCCCTCCGTCTCATATTATTAGTTGATCATTATATTAAAAATAGTTATCCCATATTAGTTGTCCACCATACTAAATTAAGAAAGCATTAACTATATTTTTCTATATTACCCTTGCAATTAATACTTTTTGAAAGTTTTCACATTTGTTTGTATAATTACCAATAAGTTTTTCAAAGAGTGAATTAGTAAAATTATCTTCTTATTTAAGTATAATAAAAAACCTACATCAATTATTATTTCTTAAATAGCGTACAAAATCTAAAGTAGTTAATTAATAGTGAATGGAGGGAGTACTCATGCTATGAGTCTTTTTGGATTGAATTTCTGCTTATAAGTTATAAGCTAAAAGTAATAAGTTTGAATGACTTTTGACTTATTTTTGTGCTCATAAGCTTTTTTTTCTTTTATTTTACTCAAACACTATCAAATTACTTAAAAGCTACTCCGACTTAAAAATATCTAAAATAAATCAATCCAAACAGGCTCTAAACCTCAAAATTATTATACTCCTATAAAAAATAGGTAACTTGACTATTTAAATCGAAGTATTCTTATTTTGTTATAATATATAGCTACAAAAAAATTAACATAAAAAGTTAATGTCAAAGTTGTTTATCATACCAATTTTTAATGGTAAAATGTTGTAAAAGCAGGTTATGTTTGGCAACAGAATGGAGAAAGTGGAACTTCTTGAAGGTTTAGTAGTCGGTGATAAAGACACTACTCCTCCAAATTACTCCCAGGTATGTCAAATGTCCTCTCATATATAGCTGAAAGCAAAGTATTTTGAAATTATTTTTAATATATTAAAGGCATTTTGATCATTTACCATATAAAAAATATAATTTTGTATAGCATGTTAAATAATTCATTTTGATAAGTTTGTTTAATCTTTCATGTAGAGAATTTACCTTTTATATGGAGATGACGATAAAATCTTTAATCATACAGTTTCAGATATTATGAAAGCGTAAGTACTCCTCACATCCTGAAAAGTTAGTCAATGCCTACCTTTTGTTTAATTTGAAACACAAATTTGATATTTGATTATGAAATTTTACCGTATACTTTACTCATAGATATATCTTATCAATGAGTGCAGAAAATTGGGAGAAAATACATCGATGAAATATATAAAAAAAGCAGGACATCTTGTTCAATTAGAGCGACCCTACACATACAATCGCTGTCTCAAGAATTATCTTTCATGTTCTAGTGGCTATGGCAACGTGTGATGAATATGTGCAACAAATGTAATATTTTTCAATTACTATACTTTTTAGTGGTGAAAGACAAAGTGTCACTTGTTTATTAAGAAGATAATTTTGTTCCTCCATATATTAAACTATATGTACTACTGGACTTGTACAAGAACTAGTAAAAAGGTGTGGTCATAACAATAATAATTTGAATTTACCCAAATTATGTCGAAATATATCCATTACAAGTTCAAGTCTGAAATTTAAATTTTATCTAATTGACCACGAGTTTACATTTAGGGTGTGTTTGGTATGAAATTTTCCGGAAAATGTTTTTTCCAATTTTCTCATGTTTGGTTGGATAAAATGTTTTCCAAATCAATTCATTTTCTTCAAATTCAAAGAAAATGACTTTCCTTCAAAAATTAAGGAAAATATTTTCCAAAACTTTCCTCCAACTTCAAATTACAATTTTTTTAATGAAAATATCATTTTTTTTCGTTGAAAAAAATAAATTTAAAGTTTTTTTAAAATAAAAATAAAATTTCAACTTCAATTTTTAATTTTTTTACACCCACCCTTACCCCTACCCCCTGCCAGCCCCCTTACCGCCCAAAATAAAAATAAATTAAAGTTTATTTCTAAAATATCTTTTTTAATTCAAATTCTTATTTTTCATTCGACCCCACCCCCCACCCCAAAAAAAATTTAAAGTTTGTTTTTAAAAAATATTTTCAATTTCAAAATTTTATTTTTACCCGACC